ATAGGCGTCGCGGAAGGGCTACGACTGATGGTGAGTGGTTGTGACCGTCATAAGGTGGTGTGACACCTGAATTTGGAGGCTGCCGGGAGAGAATCAGGGGAATAAAGTGAACAACTGGCGACATCTCGTTTAGGTTACAAGATATTTTAGATATTAAATATATTTTAGATAGCGGTTAACGTGGAACCGCTATTATATGTTCACTTTTAAGAGCGGTTAAAGTGGAACCGCTATCACATATGTGTCACTTTTAAGAGCGGTTAATATTTTAACCGCTATTAAAAGTGAACATATAATAGCGGTTCCAATTTAACCGCTATCTAAAATATATTTTAAATTCTAATCGATTATTTAAAAAAGTAATCGATTATATGTTCACTTTTAAGAGCGGTTAAAATGTTAACCGCTCTTAAAAATGACACATATATGATAGCGGTTCCACTTTAACCGCTATCTAAAATATATTTTTTATAGCGGTTACTTCTAGAACCGTTATCTAAAATCTCGATTATAACCAATTATTTGAAAATATAATCGATCATAACAGAGTAATTAAAAAAGTAATTGAGTTATAATTCAATTTGTTCGTAATCGAATCCTAAATATATATTTTTTATTTTGATAAGAAAAAAACTAGTATATATATATATATATATATATATATATATATATGTATATAATATTATAATATTTTATTTAAAATTTTAAAAATATTTATATATTTTAAAAATTAATAATATATTTAGATTTATGGTTAAACGTAGTAAAATAATATTTTTAAATATATTATTAAATATTATATTTATATTTTTTGTATGGTTAATTTTTATTTATTTATTTATTTATACATTTGATATTGTAATATATTTTTAAGAAATTAATAATAAATTAGGAGGATAATAAAATTCTTAAAAATTATATGTATATAAGATGAAATAATATTTTGATGTAAAATTATAGTTTTTGAAATGTATTTTTTTCTTATGTTTTAGTAATATTTTGAATGATATATATATATATATATATATATATATATATATATATATATATATATAATGTATACATTAAGTTGATATATCTGTCACTTTTAAGAGCGGTTAATATTTTAACTAGGTCTTAAAAGTCAACATATAATAGCGGTTCCACTTTAACCGTTATCTAAAATATATTTAAAATTCTAATCGATTATTTCAAAAAATAATCGATTATATGTTTACTTTTAAGAACGGTTAAAATGTTAACCGCTCTTAAAAGTGACACATATATGATAGCGGTTCCACTTTAACCGCTATCTAAAATCTCGATTATAACAAATTATTTGAAAATATAATCGATCATAACGGAGTAATTAAAAAAGTAATTGAGTTATAATTCGATTTGTTCGCAATCGAATCCTAAATATATATTTTTTTTATTTTGATAAGAAAAAAAACTAGTATATATAAATATATATATATATATATATATATATATATATATATATGTTAATAATATTATAATATTTTATTTAAAATTTTAAAAATATTTATATATTTTTAAAATTAATAATATATTTAGATTTATGGTTAAACGTAGTAAAATAATATTTTTAAAATATATTATTAAATATTATATTTATATTATTTGTATGGTTAATTTTTATTTATTTATTTGATATTGTAATATATTTTTAAGAAATTAATAATAAATTAGCGAGGATAATAAAATTCTTAAAAATTATATGTTTATAAGATGAAATAATATTTTGATGTAAAATTATATTTTTGAAATGTATTTTTTTCTTATGTTTTAGTAATATTTTGAATGATATATATATAATGTATACATTAAGTTGATATATCTGTCACTTTTAAGAGCGGTTAATATTTTAACCGGTCTTAAAAGTCAACATATAATAGCGGTTCCATTTTAACCGCTATCTAAAATATATTTAAAATTATAATCGATTATTTCAAAAAGTAATCGGTTATATGTTCACTTTTAAAAGCGGTTAAAATGTTAACCGCTCTTAAAAGTGACACATATATGATAACGGTTCCACTTTAACCGCTATCTAAAATATATTTTTGATAGCGGTTACTTCTAAACCGCTATCTAAAATCTCGATTATAACCAATTATTTGAAAATATAATCGATCATAACGAAGTATTTAAAAAAGTAATTGAGTTATAATTCGATTTGTTCGTAATCGAATCCTAAATAGATTTTTTTATTTTGATAAGTAAAAAAAACTAGTATATATAAATATATATATATATATATATATATATGTATATAATATTATAATATTTTATTTTAAATTTTAAAAATATGTATATATTTTTAAAATTAATAATATATTTAGATTTATGGTTAAACGTAGTAAAATAATATTTTTAAAATATATTTTTAAATATTATATTTATATTATTTGTATGGTTAATTTTTATTTATTTATTTATTTATTTGATATTGTAATATATTTTTAAGAAATTAATAATAAATTAGGAGGATAATAAAATTCTTAAAAATTATATGTATATAAGATGAAATAATATTTTGATGTAAAATTATATTTTTGAAATGCATTTTTTTCTTATGTTTTTGTAATATTTTGAATGATATATATATATATATATATATATATATTAAATATAATTTATTTTTAAGTTGATAATTATTATTTTAATGTATACATTAAGTTGATAATTATTATTTTAATGTATACAATAAATAAATAAATATATATATATATATAATTATATATTTAGTATATATATATATATATATTAAGTTTGAAATTAATTTGAAATTAATATATGTAATTTTAATTTATGTTATATATATAATTTTTTTAAAATTCATAATATATTTAGATTTATGGTTAAACGTATTAAAATAATATTTTTAAAATATATTATTAAATATTATATTTATATTATTTGTATGGTAATATCCGATCGATAAGCACTTCCTCCTTATTTACCGAACGGATATATCCCTCGATAATTAATAATTCATTTACCGACGGATATATCCCTCGGTAAAACCAAATTTCACAACTATCTTAAATCCGTGGGTAATTTCCGTCGGTAATTCAGAAATTTCTTGTAGTGATTTTTTTTATTTCTACCGATAATGAGTTAAAAATGAATCTGATTCATTTAACACACGAGTTAAATGGGTTTGAGGTGGGTTATGATGGGTTGACCCACAACCTACCATTCATTTTAAATTTTAAAAATAATTATAATAATTTAATAATCCTAATTGATGTTATTTTTGCCTCCTTTTAAGTTATGACATGATATCAAAATCAACTTTTTCATTGTTTATTCTCTTACTTTAAGTTATTCACATTTAAATTAGGTGTGCCTCAAATTATTTTGTATCTCATAATATCTAGTTAACTATTTTATATGGATATCTTTAAAGAAGACAACAATTTGTCAAAAAAATTACCACATAATAAAATAATTTTATTTAAAAAATAGATAAAATATTAAAGTTTAAGGAAAAAGAAATTAAAATAGAATAAAATAAGATTCAAATATTTTTTTCCAATTATTTGAATGTTGTTGGAGATATATTTTTATTTGGATAATTTAATTTAAACGACCTTTATAAAATCAAATATCATATTATTTGTTATTACAGTTTCAACAATTCACATACATACATATATATATATATATATATATATATATATATATATATATATATAATTATCAATCTTATTAAGATCTTTTATAATTGTAATTATTACACATACATTTTTATTTTGTTTGATAATGAAAATCTTTTTTCTCAATTATGACATTTGTATCTTATTTTTTTATCATAACATATTTTTAAAAGAGCATTAAAAATTTGTTGAGATTAAATAAGAGATAGAATTATTTTGTTATATGTAAAAAAATTCATTTTCTTTTGTTAGAGGTTTCAGATCATTTAAGGTATAAAGAATTTTCATTGATATAAAATTAACTTAAAAATATAAATTAAAATATATATTCATTTTTGATAAAAACTATTATTTTTTATTTTTAGAAAATTGATAAGATAATTTGAAAATTTTGTGATTAGGAATAATTTTACTTGTTCCATGATGGACGTCAAATTTCTTACTAAAAAATTATAATGATGAATAAACTTAGACAAGTTGGTCTAGGTGACTGCCACTTTAAAATTTATTGGATTGAACTCTACTGAATATGGGCAAAACAAGAGGGCGGTCTACCTATAAAGACACTCCTATACTTAGATAAGAAAAAAAAAAAAGAGAGAAAAAAATAGAGTAATATAAAAAAAAAGGTATCTGAATGCAAATAAAATGATTTACAAATAATAGAATTGTCCTATTATATCTTTTGCCTTGATATTTTAAATAGTAAATTATATCGATTAATCATGATAAATAATTAGATAAATTAATTATACATTATTACCATAATAACTTCAGTTACGTAATAAATATCATCAATTTGAGAATTCGAACAAACACATTAATCATCATCACTATTTTAAAAATTGGATTAGACTGACCAATTAATCGATTAAATCCAAATCAAGCTAGAAGTCCCGTTTGTTACTTTCAAATAACTAGACTTTAATTAAACTAAGATAAAATTGAAAAATGATAAAACCAGACAAAATGACTGAATTTTTGGGTTGAACTGATTTTACTAAAAAAAATATTTAGGATCAAATCTTTTTATTAAATTTTTAATAAAAGATATAATATATTTTTTAAAATTTTATATTAATCACGTCAACTTTAAATAATAATTATTTTATTACACTTTTATCTTATTTTAATAATTATATATCTTTATTCTTTAATATATTTTATATTTATAAATTTCATTATAATTTATTGTAATCATTACAGTAATTTTTATTAGTTTTTTTTTATAAAACTATTATACTAATAAATTTATTATATTATAAAAACATTATTTTATTAAATCTAGATACAGTTGAACTTTTAAATTTTAAATCCTAAACTTATATCGTGATACTAGTCTAATTTTAAAAAGATTGATCATTATGTTTTCTCTCTATTAATTTTGTTTCTTTTTAGATAATGGAAGAGCATGCACTAATTAAAATATATATATATATATATATATATATATATATATATATATATATATATATATATATATATATATATATATATAAGAACTTATTATTATAACGGTTAATTTAGTTTATTATTTAATAATATAGTTCAAATTTTAACCATTATATTACTATGTATCTATTTTAATGGTCATAATAAATATTAATTATGATGATTAAAATTTTAATTTAGAAAGTAAATCTTTAAGGTAAAAAACAAAAGCAAATTCTTTTTTTATTTTTTTATTTGTCTTTCTAGCAACGTCACTTTGCTCACAATTCACTTCTATAGTTTGTCTTTTTCGTCACTTCAATCCGCTAGACGAGATAACATTTGTCACTAAAATCTAAAACAATTGTCATTAAAGTTCCTTCCCACAATAGTAGTTTAATTAGCAATCATGTATCTCATATTGTATAAAGAAACATAAACAAAAAAAATGAATTACACAATATATCTTTGCTTATTTAGACAAATTTTTCTTTAAGAACTTCTAGAAGATAAAAATATATATAAAAAAATTGACTTGTTCATAAGTTAAAATTAACTTATGTATAAATTAATTTGGGAAGCTCTTTCATGTAACTTTTCCAAATGTTTATTTTAAAATTGTGTAGCTAATTTTAACTTAGGACAAAATTATTTTTTTTCATGTTTTTTTCTTCTATAGATTTTTACGGATAAACTCATTTAAGCATATTTATTGTCTGCATATAAAAGGTTACATCATTACAATAAACTTATTAAATATTAACAATTTTGAAAAGAAATAGTTATTATATTAACTAAATTAAAAATTATTTTAATTAAATTGATCTCTAACTTTAATTATCAAAATTTTAATTACTAATTAAAAATTAGAGTTTGCTTTAATAATTTAAAGTAAGGCAAACCACCAACTCATGCTTTATAGTATAAATTATTCTTTTAATAAAAGATTAACATATTAGCACCCCTATCTAACTAATCATGTATCACATGCTATAAGATACACACACACACACACACACACACATATATATATATATATATATATATATATATATATATATATATATATATATATATATATATATATATATATATATATATATATATATATATAAAAGATTAACATATTAGCACCCATATAATTTTTTTTTAAGTCCTCCCATATGAGGATGATTTTGAAGAAAATGGTGGTGGAGACAATAATAATTGAAAAATAACAAATATTAATATTATTTTATATATATATATATACATACATATATATATATATATATATATATATATATATATATATATTCAATTTGATCTTACTTTTAATAATAGGTTCAATTAAACTATTTTATTTTGAAAAACACCACTACCAAAGTAAAGTAAAATAATTAATAAATACATATTATAATATAATTTAAAATTAATGCCGTTACCATTTATAGAACTAACAATGACAATTTTATCAAATGAAATAGTCACATTATTGTATATTTAGAAATTGAATAATTTAATTCAACCTTGAGAGGATTACACTGTATTTTTAAATTGACGTATTTTATTGAACATTCTATTATTAGAGAGATTAAATTAAACAAAATAAATAAATAAAATATAATTAAACTTAATGTTAACTTGAAATTAAAATATTGGATAAATAGAAATACTTTTCTTAAAATAAATAAAAAGTAATATTGTACAACAATAATTTTTTTATAACAACTCCTGGTGAGAGTTTCCTTAATTATATAAAAATATACCATTTCACAACTAGTGAAAAATGAATTTGAAAACTAGTTCGACATTAAAAAAAAAATTTAAAAATTTTGTAAGATAAATAAAAGTGCATATTTAATAATATTATAAACATGTATACATTTTTTAGAAGTTTGTTGAAATAATATACAAAATAATTATTATATTTGAAGTATTTTGTGATTTGAAATAAAATTTTAATTATATTTAAATATTTTAGAAAAAACAAGTATATATAAATAAGTTGATTCTAAATAACATGAGACTTTTACTTGAACAAAATAATTTATTATATATTATTAATTTTCTTTGACAGTATAATTATTATTCATAACTTTTTATATGTTATAGGTTGATTTTTATAATTTCATATTATATTAATTTATTTCAAATATAAAGTTGTATTGTTAACTTATATTATTATATTTTATTCATATTTAAATTTAAGTATTATGATATATTCAATTTACACAAAACATCGTTGTTGAAGTTAATGGCTCTTGGTTTATATTTTAAAATTAATAATTAGATCTATATTTTGCAATTGATTATAATTTTTTTTGGCCTAATTTAATTTACGACCAACAAACTAATATATTAATTTTAATAAAATTAAAAAAAAATAAAAATTGATTATTAAAGTATATATACCAAAATCATTAATTTTTTTTTAAAATAATTAAAAAAAAAGTAAATTATATTAATAAAACTAATAATTTTTTAAATAATGTTTACTTAATCTCATAAGCTTATTATTCTTATATTTTTGTAATAATTTATTAATCTAAAATAGTAATTTATTTTAATAATGTTAAAAACTTATTTTTATTTTTATTATAAATTTTTTTAATTAATTTATATTACATATATATATATATATTAATAAAAGAATATTAATTTTTATTTTATTTAAATATAATTATTATTTTATAAAATAAATTCATATAAAACGTAGTTTAAATAATAATAAATAAATTTAATTTAATTTAGGTCATAAATTTATTAACTTTTAAACTAATTTAATTTTGGGATATTTTGCACTTCAAATATCAACACAAAAATTCGTAATGTGAATTACTTAAATGTAACTCTAAATTTGAAAATAACACTACAAAAATATATATATTATTTATTTTTGAATTTGTATTTAAATTTTCTCAGTAACGACGCCGTTAGTGAAGGGTGGTGATAATTTTATGCTATAAAAAGAAATACATAAAGCAATCAAAAGAGTCTATTTCTGTATAATTTTCTCAATTATTATTATTTGGATATTTGTATATATATATTACGTGAGAAGGATCAATAATGGAGACAGAGAAAGGAAAACGGTAGCTATCAGATTGATAACTGGGAACCGTGGCCCTAAAGTTTGGAATTATAAACATGAGACAGAGTTGAAAGGGACAGGTCATGCAATTTTAGGGACATAATACAATAATAATACCATACATACATACATACATACATACATACATACATACATACACATTATAATCATGCAATGTATTAAGAAGCATCAATGGTTTTGAACTCTTTGGAGAATCAATTAACACAATCATTATTATAAATGCATATGAGAATAATGTGGGTGTCCACGTTCACTGACAAAGAAACCCGTTTTAATCAACCTTTCAATCACACCAACCTTGTTATCATATTAATTATTGCCTTATTTCCATTATTGTTATGCAAATTACAAGGTTATTTCCAAACTCAATCTTCAATCATAACCATCACTCCATCATTAATTATCAAATACTGTTTTTCTAAAATATGTTCATCTCATCAGGGTCAAGAATCATCTATTTTTTATTAATTATTTTATTTTGTTAAGAACTCATTCTTTTCATTAAAGAAACATATGGAAAAATGAAAACTCTCCATTATTTTCTTTTATACAATATTAATATCAAATTATACCTCAAAGTTAGTTTCACGTTCATGTCACACTTTTGTTTCACGTTCAATTTAATCAAATGCGAATTGTCAGTCAGTCCCACATCGTTTATTTTAATTATCTAAGAATGATTTATATATTATAATCATTTTATTGATTTCAAAATTAATTTAAAATTTAGAGAAATTGTTAGAAATTTACCACATGTGGTCCGTCTGATATAATCAGAAAATAGTAGTTTGAAGAGGTTTTGGTTGTGTTTATCGGAACAAGTGATTCCTTATGGATAGTCTTTGAACAATACTCTCACGCACTTCAAACAATTACTCCCATCTGTCACACACACAAGATAGAGATAATAAGGTATGGCTTTGAAAACATTACTTGAGAGAGAAAGACAACAACATTGTATTCATTTATTTATGCTTAATTTTTTTTTTTGCATAAAATAAGTTTTTTTTTTTTTATATGCTTACCTAATCTACTTGTTTTTGAAAATAACTATTTGTGTATGAAAATAAAATAAGAGGGAAAGATTACAAAATGAAAAGAGAGAGAGATTTATAAATACGAAAATGTGTATGAAATTCATACTTGTGTATATAAAGAGAAATATAAAATTTTATGACGGTTTTTTTCGTTGAAAAAAATAATTAACAAATGGAGAAAAAAGAAATCATGCATGGCACTAAAAAAAATATCAACATTTTAGTTATCGGTCATACGCAAATCAATCATTAATACCAGTTGATCTAGAAAGTTTTATTGTGAATTTCAAAAGTTAAAAAATGTGCAAACATATTTTGTATCATGGTACAAAGAACCAAATTCAAAAAACTAGTTTTAAATTATTTCTTTGTACAGCCAATTGAAAAGGTTTTGTCATTATTTCAAAAATTACAAAATGAAATAAATATTTATTATCAAAAAACGATACTGTCTCAGATATTACATCTATTTATTTTGGAATCATGGTCAATTGCTGATGTTCATTATTTTTTTTAGCAGTGTTTTATATACAAAAAAATATTTATTTGATTTAAAGTAATCCTAAAATGGACTTAACAATTGTATTTGAAGTCTTTTAGTTAATTAAGAAACGTTGGTAATTTACATTAATTAATAAGTTTAAATCTCATTGTTATTATGATATTATTATATGCCCAAAAAAGAAAAAATGTAAATGTTCATAAAAAATGGAAGTGTTGGTGAAATTATACTGCTATATGGATCTTGTATATGTCGGCAATATACCAACAGAACTTGCACTTGATTATTATATTTAATTAATAATTAATTGATTAATGTAACATAAATTAGTATTCTCATGGTGAAAAACAATTAAATAATTGCACTTAATTGGTTTTTTAGTTTCTGTGAATACTTGTGTTGGCTTTTTCTATGCTTCTTTTATGTGTTTTCCATGATTGAGACAAATCCAAAATAATAATAAAAAATTATGACAACTCGTTTATCTTACATAAAAAGATATATATTTTATTATTATTATTTGGTGATTAGGAAGAACATAATCTTAAAATAACACTATTCATCTTCTTCTTCTTTCTTTATTTATTTTCTCTCTCTTTTTTCTATTCGCAGAAGTTTTCTCTTATGTCGTTGTTAGAGAATGTTTAAGATTGAAGAAAATTGAACCTATTTTAAGAACAATGACGCATCAAAGTAGAAAAAGAGGACACAACTAACCTTTAATTTTTAGCTTTTTCTTAGATCTTAGTTATAATTTAGTTTTTATATATGTTTTTAATTTATGTTTACTTTAACTACCCCACATTTTGCTTTTATAATTTCTCCATTATTAAAATGAAGTTTCATTTCAAATTCTTATCTAATAATTAATGAAAATGTAACATAACGTATGGCATATTATTAATGACTTTCATTATAATTTTTAATTTTTAATTTTTTATTTAAATATTTCATTTACTTTTTTCTTTATAAATTCGTAAAAAAATGCGTGACGTGTTATATTTTCAGTATATTATTACTAATTATTCGATAGAATTAATAAGTGACGAAGGACTTTATTAGTTTTAACTATTAGAAAACTATAAAAATTAAATGTGAAATTAGAAGGAGATGAAAATGGTATACTAATTAAAGTATGAAAATTAAAAGTGTAATGAAATCTTTGTAGAAGAAGTAAAATACTTTTATTTATATGCATTTATAATTTTAATTTGTTATATAATTAAGTATGTTCCTGTTTCTTATGCATTATAAATTTGTCTCTTATGTAAAATAAATTATTAAAGTTTTTCTTGGCATTACTTTGCATATTTAGTCAAGGATGAAATTGAATGCAATGAGATGAAAAAATTAACATTTTATTAGTTCTAGTATTTATTTATGCAAAAAATATATAAATTATGTCGAAAATAAAAAATATTAGAAATAATAAAATAAAAAAACTGTATTTTTTACACGTTTTATTATGTGTATATAATTAATTTACTTTTACAAATTACTTAAAATTCACGTTGTTTCTTTACATTAAAAGTCTTAAATACAAAAATAATTTATATTATTTTTTTCTATTGATTCACTAAAATAGACTTTAAAAATGAATTTATACCAAAATTAAATATAAATTCAAAAATAAATTACAAATGAATATCTTAAATATAATAACTAAATTATGAAATATCATATATTATATAGTGAAATATATTACATAATAATATATAATTGAGATACAATTTTATTTTATAAATGTTGAGTTGGATAGTTCTTTAATTTTAATTTAATATCAAAATCTATCTTATTAAAATTAATTAGCTTATCACTCTATGTATTATCATATTATTGGGGAATATTCAGTTACGTATTCTTCAAATACTCACTCTAAATACATATTAAATAATAATATTAAATTAAAATAAACACTCTAAGAAAATTATGCTGAGAATAAATAATTATTAAACTCATAAAACACTTATCCATTCATTTGTATTTATACAATAAATTCTAATAAAGTATTTTTTTTATTGCAATCACTAATATATAAGAGACATTTTATATTTATTATTTTGGTATTTTTACGTTTCAAGCTTTAATATTAAATATGATATATATATATATATATATATATATATATATGTACTAAAATAACTAATTAATATATTTTGATATTACACATTCTACAATCTCACGTAAATTTATATAATTTATATATAGTTTGACAGAAATTTCATGTTGGCAAAACGGAAATAAGAAAGTGTTGTTAAATGTTTTGAAGGTTTAGAAAGGGTTTATTCTCGTAGGAAGGTTGAAAAAAATGGTCGATAATTGAAGGAGTGTAGTAAAGATGTTTATAATTCTAGAAGCTTTTGCAAAACCAAGAGCAATTATGTTTGTGCATCAATGTAATAACATGTGTCACTTAAATGATAATAAACCAATAACAAATACAACATTCTTATTCCCATTATATCCCTCCTTGTAAAATATCATAATGTCATTAATTCTAAATCTCACATCTTTCATAGCATATGGGAAACTAACTAGGGTGTACCATTCTAATTTGACACTTCGACAATCAAAATTAGATCAACATGACTTCATCAAGATTCATGATGTGTACAAGATATTGTCGGATTTTTTATGGTTGCAAGAAATTAATGTAAAAAATATATTTTGTCGTACTAAAAACAACCTTAATCAATCTCCATTTGGAATTAATTAACCAATTAATTTGAAAGTTGGGGACACAAGTGGATAGGAAAAATTAAACTAAGAATTATTAATTTTATTTGTCTTGAAATATTTAAAACAAAAAGAAAACATAAACATATAAATGATGGTGATGATTTAATTTTGTGTTGTATGTAGTATTTATGTTTGTTGTATGTATCTCTTGAATCTTGTATTAAAATTTAAGTGTGATTTAAAGTCTTGTATTAAATATAAATAATAATGTTAAAGGATTAAGATATTTTCTTTAATTAAATCCAATAATAATTAATCTCATGGTTAAATCACAATAATAATAATATCAAAAGGGATAATTGTGTAGATTATAAGTATATATAACCTGGGTTAATCTCCCTCTCAGAATCCCAACATCTTGATGCATGCATGGGATGATTTGAATCACATAATTTGTGTTCTCCTACGCAAAATAAAAATTCAAAGCAGAAGAGTTTGCACACGTTTTCACAGCTAAATTCATTGGTTTTGATGGATGAGAGAAGAAGGCACTACACCCTGAACACAAATAAAAAACTTGTCCACTCATGAAGAAGCAAATAAATAACATATAATCATATCAATGCATGCGTGTCCTTGTTTATGTATTTATTTATGGAAAAAACATTTTCATAAATTCTGTCTCTAATTGTTTGTTAATAAATATATGATGCAATTAATGGTCCAAAATGGCTGCATACTTAACTTTCACGTAAAGCTATGCGTCAACGACACCTCAAAAATTGGAATGTTCCATAGAATCAATAATGGGCCCAACCTTAATTTGAACCATTTAATTATCTTCCTTAATTATTTCTTTCCTTTTAATTATTTTTTTATTTATCTCCTCTTTCACAAACACAAGTTACTATTATTACAACAAATTAAAGATTACATATGAATGCATTCATTATATCGAAGCACCAAATTAAATTACATATATGGTATAGATATTAATAATAAATTCCAATGTTGTAGACTACATTAATAGTCAATCACATTAATTGAATATAATATATATATATATATATATATATATATATATATATATATATATAGAGAGAGAGAGAGAGAGAGAGAGAGAGAGAGAGAGAATCACCATTTTAATTCGTGGAAAGCATCCCAACAATATTGTCAAAGAAAGAACATGGTTTCATTGGTGGATAATTTAAGAGCTTGCTTGAAATTCAAAAGCTAAATTATTTCATTTTGAATAAAAAAATCATAGTATTAGAATATATGAGTAAAAGGGTCACCTCTCGTGTTATGTCTTGTATATAGAGAGAGGAATATTCTTATTATTCCTCATGTATTGTGATCATGTAGTTTGATTTCATTTTGTTTCAGCTTCATTTGAGGTATCATAAAGAAAAATATAATTTAGTAAATAAATAAAACATAACGTTTCTACCAAGTTTCGTTCCCTCGAGTAAAGGGACATCACGTCGCATCATAGACATGGAAAATAAAACTCCAACAATTTTTTGTAACAAAGCTCAATTTGGCACTTTCTTTCAGTAACACGAAATCTATAATAACTTTCTGTAGGTACACAGACATATCAACAACAACCATTGCTTAAAATTGTAATAACTTTTGTGTGGGTCTATAATGATACTATAGTTAACTGTTTTTGTTAATGCAAAAACATTTTTGTTAGTACAATTATTGCAATTAAGCTATGGAAACTATGGAGATAATATCGCATAAAAGGATTAAGAGAAAAACAAAGTAGAAGTAAATCCGACAAAATTTAAAATGAGTAATTTTGTTTGTTTCTCTCTTTACTGCAAAAGAGAAATAACTGTTGAAGATAAAAATGGTGATTTGATTAGATTGAATTTGTTTTTAGGGTTACTAGTTGCTGCATCCGCATTACATGTTGACCTACAGGAGTTGAACACTTTGTATTTTAATTATTTAAAGCTATGGCTTCAATCAAAGACAAGTTGATTTCTATGTAAAACAGTAATAACCTGCTAAAGATGATTTCATCTCTTAAATATTATGTAAAAGTTGGATTTTCATTCTTGTGTATATTAAAAAATACTTTATTTCATTCAAAATGTTTTCAATTTTCAGTAAAATAATAAAACTTCTATTTCAATTTATCATCAAAAGAAAATTATTGTCTTAAAATACTCAATAATATAATTTTTTTAAGGTATATTCCCTTAAATAATATATTTAACAATGATATATTTGAGGCTTACAATAATAATAATAATAATAATAATAATTATTATTATTATTATTATTTAGTTTTTAGTTAGAGATTAATTATATATAGTTTTATTAAATATAAAGACTAAAAATTGAATATTTTTATGAAATTAAATAAAATCTGTAATATTTTAAAAGTTTATATATATATATATATATATATATATATATATATATATATATATAACTCATTTATTTATGCATAATAATCATAAATATAAATTTGAATATTTACATGTTATGTTAATTTTGTGTAGACGTAAGTAAATTTTTTCTTGTATTCATTGTATAATAATTTATCATTTTTTTTATCATCACTTTTATATTTCAAAACTGATTATTAATTAAATATATTTTTTTATCTTAACATTCATTTCCTCATATCTCAAACACTCTCAAATTAACTATTTTTAATCGTTTTTATATTTATATTTCCCTTTTTCTTCACAAATTGTAATTGCTCATTAGTTTAATATTCTTTGTATCTTCAAATTTGACCATTATCTCTGCTAAGTGTAATCACTTAATATTTTTTTTATTTGCTAAAATTAATTGTGTATGTTTTTATATATTTGTACAACTTAATTTAAAATTTGAAAAAACTGTGTAAAGTAAATGCACTTTACTTTTCTTTTTGGGTTAGTTGAGTGTGTTGCATAATGGCTTCATTTAGTTTTTGATAGTGAGATAATTGTACTTATTAACAAATGTAACTTCAAAAATCATAATTAAAATATATTTCACTATTTTACATATAAAAAATTTATTTATCATATCTTTACATGATAAGTTGGTATAGTGGTTAGACATTCTATACTCACAGGTTGTGAGGACGATTTATACAATGGAGATTCTATGTTTGAATTCATCATATATGAAACTTTACCGAATCAATAATCGCAGGGAGATTAATATCTAATTTATGTTATAAGAAAAACCTCTGTTAAATTTTTTTTATTTTTATCTCCATATAATAAACTAGGATTTTATTTTGAGAAAATAAATCAATTGGGATAAAACTGTTCTAGTTGAAATGAACCTAATTATGTTAAAAATGTCTGCTTAAAACATTTTACAATTTGAATCGACATGTAAATTTACCAATCAAATTTCCTCTAAACTAAAAAGTCTTTAAAAAAATTGCCTCTAGAAATATGAATACTATTCGTTTACAATTTGATTCTATCTTATAAATGATTTTTTTTCAAGTTTTTGTCTTTTTTCAACTAAACGTTTAAAATCATTTTATAATTTAGATACATCATAAATTTAAAAAAACTTAACAATTTAAATTTTTAAAGTAAAAAAATCAATAAATTAATCATTTTTGTTTATTATAAAAATGGGACATGATTAACTTGAACATAAATTTAAAAGAACAAAATTGTAAATGTTTTAAACTTAAAATACTAGAAAAGTAATTAAACTTTATATTTAATTTTTCATAAATTTAGATCATTTTAAATAAATTAATTTTTTTCACTTACCTCTTTAGATTAATCAACATTATGTTCTTGAGAATGATCTAATTTCTAACATTTTTTGAGGAAAATAAATAAAAGCAGCCAAATACAGAATGCTACTCACATTATTTAGTGGATCTTGCATGAATTTGACTAAATAGTAAGGTCGAAATAGGAGTATTGTTAACCTCTCGATACGATAACTGAGTTGCTGGCAGGGATGAGTATCCATTGTAGCTATCATATTTGATAAAATGAAAATTCGCACCAAAATCTTTTGTAATTTAGAAACTAGATTGCTAATAATATGTACAAAATACGAACAGGATTCTTTTCTTCTTTGAAAATACCATGTAAAGAATGCAGCATACGAATTAACAAAGGCAGACAATTCAAAATAGAGATTATGAAAGCACCAAACCTAGTCATATGGTTCCAGCAAGGAGTTCCCTGAAATGTACATGGACATAAGTACTTCGGTTAATCATGATTTAATAGTTAAGGGAAAAAAACAGATTCTAGATGGAATTATTAAGACAAAGAGAATAGAAGACTTACATCAACTTCAATTGGTCCGTGTTGATAGTTGATGAAAGTGATTGCCAGATGTCCTAGACTTGTTTTCTTGATTAAACAGGATAAACAACTTGTCATGTCACCTGTTTAGTTGTCTCACAATAAAAAGCCATTTGAAGTGATATAAGCTATTAAATGTTCAAAGCACCTCTTCTCAAAATCAACAACAAATAGTGCAGATAAATAGTTTGAAGCCTGTTGTTTGTATAACAAACAAAACACGGCTTGGAAGGTAAATCACAAATTCTGAGATTTCTCTAACGTGATTTTCTTGAGAATGGACGTTGCAATGCTGAAAACAAACAATGCACGCATCTACTTCCTGGATCCTAATCTTTTGGGACTCTAATGATTAAACCAGTTGGAGTCTGGTCAGTTCTTAGATGACCAGAACCAATCAAATCACGAAGATGAAATCTAACATCAAATGGAGACATTCGAAGACGCTTCTTTTCCAAAGAGGCCAACATCATCTCCTTATATCTACGACGGCTGAGAAGAGAGATAATTTCCTTTCTTCCCTGATCAACAAAGGTAAAAACAATTTCATTATTATCTCTAAAGTTGTTTCTTGACGGTGGTAAAGATAAGATAAAAGAGTAGAATAAGATCATCATGTGATATAAGCAAAATATGCATTTAATCTTAACCAATACTTTGGTGTGCACTATGATAATACTAGTGATTATGGTGATAACAGTAAAAACAATAATAACAATGGTAATGACAATAATGTTAATAACAAGTCATAAAATCAATAATGATGACAATAGTGATGATGATAATAAAAAAATGACAACAATAGTATTGGTGATAGTGATAATGCTAGTAGCAACAAAGACAGTTATTACTGTGATAACAATGAGTAATGACAATAACAAAGACAATGTGGTGGTGCTAACGGTTGTTGCTACAATGAAGATGACGAAAATGGTCAAGATGATATATGAGAGTGATGATAATAACAACAATGATGTGAGTGATGGTGGTGATAGTAACAACAACAATGATGAGTATCATTAACATATAACAATAGGGACGAAGATAATGACAAAGATGGTGACAATGATAATGGTTGTATGAAGGTGGGGTGGTGAAAGAATAGGAGGGATGTCAACTTTCCTATTTGAGTGTCTTTTAACCTAGCTCCCCTCACAAGATAAGAAATATATTGCTAGAATATTGTTAGAATAGGTGTTAAATATGGGTAGAGAGTAGTTGTATTAAAAAGTTGTTTCATGATGTACCCATGAGTTGTAATTATCTTTGTACCTAGGTTTCTAGTTCAAACTTTTGAACTTTAATCTTCCCTCTACTCACTATATCAATATTCTATCATTATAAACGAGATCACAAGAGAGATGCAATTAAGCCTCTCAAACATATCTCGTTTCTATTTTATTTATCTCAAGTTGGTATCAAAGCGGGTTGATCCTGCTCTACTTGCCTTTGTCTTATCTGCGGCCAATGTGGTCATTGTCTGATGTCATCCCCCGCTATCCGCAGTTGTCTACCGTTGTTTGGTCACCATCCACAGATATCCCACCTTTGTCCACTATTGTTCGCAACTATTCGCAATTGTTCGTCATTATTTGGTCACCATCCCTCCATTCTAATATTTGTGTACCAAGTCATGTCTCATATTTTGGTTTTAGATATTTTGTTACGTTCATTGATGAATATTCCATATGTACTTGGGTTTATCTTATACAGATCATTCGGAACATTTGTCTATCTTTACATCCTTTTTAAATGAAATAAAAAATCAATTTGGCCAAGTAATTAAAACTTCTAGAAGTGACAATGCTAAATAGTACTTCTCCTTAACTTATCCACAGTTTTAAGTTCACATGACATTTTGCACCAGCCTATTTGTCCTCACACCCCTCAACAAAATGATATTGCAGAGAGGAAAAACAAACACTTGGTTGAGACGACTTGTACCCTATTGCTTAGTGTCAATACATCGATCCATCATTCGAGTGATGTTGTCCTAATTACTTGTTTTTTTATTAATAGAATGCCATCTTCTTCTCTTAGCAATAAGGTCCCTTATTCCATTCTTTTTCCAAATGATCATCTCTTTCATTTTTCTCCAAAACAAGGTCTATTATATGAAGATAAAGACAACACCCAAATCTTTGGATATTGTGATGCTAATTGGGCAAAATCCTTTGCTGACAGACACTCTACTCTAGGATATTGTGTTCTCCTTATAGAAAATATTATTTCTTGAAAAAATAAGAAACAAAATGTAGTGACCCAATCAAATACTTAAGCTATATAAAGGGCAATGACATCTCTTGTGAACTTGTATGGGTGAACAATTCCTTCAAGAACTTAACTTCTATGAGATCCAAACAATGAAGATGTTCCAATCTATTATTTCATGATAGAACTGATTGACTGTCATTTTGTTCGGAAAAAGTTGTTATTAAAGGAAATTTGTACTAAGTTTGTTGAATTCAATGGTCAACTTGCAGATGTGTCAACAAAATCCTTAAGAGGACCTCGGATTGAGCTTATTTGTTTCAAACTTGGTACATATAATTTGCATGCTCCAGTTTAAGGGGTAGTGTTAGAATAAATACTAAATATAGGTAGATTAGAATAGGTATTAAATATAGGTAGAGATTAGTTGTATTAAAAAACTGTTCCATGTTGTACCTATTTTTGTACCTACGTTTCTAATTTAGGCATTTGACCTTTGATCTTCCCTTTACTCAATATATCAATATTCTATCATATAAATAAGAGATCACAAGAGAGGTGTGATTAAGCCTCTCAAATATATCTCGTTTTTATTTTATTTATCTTGAGTGATATAATAGACAATATTATAAGAAAAATTATATATAGTCGGTATACCAAACAATTGATTACAGCAAGATAATATGGTTATTCTATCATATCCTAACTACCATACAAACCCTCAAGGTTTTGGACATCTCTTGTTCTAATACAGATGAAACATTTTCAGTTCCAAAGGACAACCCAAAGAAATGACTGAATCCAAACAAAATTATCCCTCAACTGCTCTAGAGTTTATATATCAGGCAATTTACTTCAAAGATGGACTTGGTCATGAGCCAACAACGGTACTTGACACATTCAGTTGCAAATGACTACCCAAATCATACCCCAACCCAAAAGAAATAACTCAATCCACACATATTATCCCTCCGCTGCTCTAGAATAAATATCTCATGTAATGAACTTCAATGATGGACTTAGCGATGCCTAAGACGATGCTGAACAGCTCCAGTTCAACCTAACAAATGTCCCTACTATGATGCAACCTATGCTTAGTCCTTCACTTAATAAGCTTTCCAATGTACATTAAGGGCAATCAACTTAGAGGGATGCCACATCTTCTCGAGATATGTCTTAAGGTTTGGTTAGAAATGTTATGATTGTAAAACAAGTACACAATATACGCTAAAAATCACATTATACATCCACTGCACTTAAAAGTTCATAAAAGTCACACAAAGCCGTCAACTTTCTGATTGGTATACATACTAACTTGTCAAACTAAATGCAAACCTTCCCCCCAAAAACACAGCCCTCAAATTTAATGTAGTGGATTAACCTCAAATAGCAGCAATAGCATAGTTAAAGTACCCATATTGTGCACCAGGTCAAACATGAACATACTCATATTAACAAAACTTCCAGCATCCAGGCAAAAGCACATGGTAAACATCAAACGCTCATATACCTGAACAAGACCCTTAAGAAGTGAGCCAATGTTTGGAATTGCAAACCAATACATGTTTGGATCAATAAGTTGCCTAGTCTGAAAAGTGTGCAGCAGAGTTATTATACGTAAATGCTCAACCAAAAAAATGTATAATAACTTAATAAGTGACATTTGGAAGAAGTTTTACACGGCTTATCTTATTATGTAAGCACACAAGATGAAAATGGAAAGTATTTGGTTACGCTTATATATATCAAGAAACGTACTGAAATATTATTTCATGATTTCCAGAGTAACACGAGGGTCTATTTATACAACCTTGGTCATAAAATCGTATGCTACAATTATGAATATCAAATGAGCCCTATTGCAACCTATAAGAAATAAGGAAATCTTGACTAATCAATCCTAATAAGGAGAAAGGAAGGAAGGAATATACACATCAAGTACATGTTGCACATGTAACAACTCTTGTGCAGTGGTTTATAACCTTCTGTAAACTTCTTTTAGCTTATTTTAATGAGCTTCAAAATAAAGTTTACAAAAGAGGCTTATTAAATTAAGCACTTATAACATAAGCTCTTGTGTGTTTAACTTGTACTATTGCATGTTTAATTAAGTTGTTTGCCCAAGGACACTCAATTCATACAGCCATTGTATATGAAAACAGGTATATAGAGGAGATAATCAACACAAAGCTACTCGAGAATCACATAAAGTACATTCATATAATCAATAAATTTGTGCTGATAAATATTACTCAGAGTTGTATACAATCAAAATTAGCAGAATAAGCATAATTTGTTTGATCTAAGGGACGTTTGTTATGTATTTTCAGACATTAAAGCTTCAGATAAAGAAAGGCTACAAGATTATCAATGTATCTACAAATGCTTAACATTAATAAAGGAAAACACGGAACATGAACTTATAAATTTTCAATGATGTCCAACTAAATCAACAGTCATGTAAGAATAGGGTCAAGGTTTAAGAATGTATGATAAAGATCAAACAGGTAGCTGAGAAGTGAGCACAAGGGTACAATCTTCTTTTCTTGTCCTTATGAAAGATAATGAGAATAATTAAGTGAAATATTAGCAAAAGTAGTTGCAAAGATTACTGTTTTGTTGTGAGGAGGAAAGAAATAGGTTGAATGAAAATAAGCTGATAGAGTGAAAATAGTTGAGAAATAAAGTGGAAATTAAAAGTGTTTGGTTGAAGAGAAATAAAGAATAGATGAGGAAAGAGATAGAGACATGAGTAGAAATAAGTGAGAAATAATACATAGGGTCTCACCATCTTTTATAAAATTATTTCTCTTCTCTCTAACCCCCACCAAACATCCCATATTATTTCTATCCCCACCCATCCTTTCCATCCACAAAACCAAACAAATGCTAAAAGATAACAGTTGCTTCATAGTTTACAGAAATCTGAATGCTATTTGATGTTGCTCTTGTCAGCCAAGTCAATATAAACATTATTAAGTTAAACCATTAACAGAAAGCTTTGTTGCAAAAATCTTGTACAATCAGAAACCCCAACTATTCAGTGCTCAAAGCATCGACCTAGTGGGATCTCAGGACGGTAGTAGATGTCTGCAGTCTTACCTGCATAAGCAAGGAGACCATTTCCAGGATTTGACCTAGTTATTCAGGGTTACAGAGCTGCAACCCAAGCATTGCACTGAGGCTAACCCTCTTAAAACCTCAAATGTAAATCCATAAGAAAAAACCAGTGCATCTATTTTCTAAACACAAGGTATATGAAAAGACGTTAGTATTAATTACAAAATATCAAAATACTGTGATTGCCTCTTTTAGTTTTCATTGAAAGAGTTCACATTCTGTTTATAAACAACAACGTTTTGTGACAGTTATAACCACAAAAATGCTTAAATATGAACAAATTGAGCAGTGCTTTTTGCTCCACTTTACTCACAAGGACACCAGCATTAATTAGAAGGGAGATGTGACTGTCCTTCACCTTTCCCCCAAGTGACAAGAGTGAGCACTGCATCAAAAAGAAATCCTCAGCTCAGAAACCCATTTAGTAAATATCCTGGGATAATACAAATATTGATCAGCCTGTTCAGTTTTAAATCAAAGTATCAAACAATAAGATTAAAGCTGGTAAAATGGAATAATATGTTCTGATATTAGTATTTAATATTTATCACTATAAATTTGGGTGTGCCAGATTCTCAAATTAAGCATTTGCATTCTCCCAAAACAAGGACATTTTGCCAGATTATAAAATTCTCTGTTGAGTAGATATTTAAATAGCAGAAGTTGAAAGGATTAAACAAACTAAGCTGATTTGAGTATTTCACTCACAAGCTCCTGATGTTCAATGCCTGTTTCTAGCTTCGAATCTAGAACATGAGTCTTCAACCACCCAAAAACTTCACATTCCTCTACTTTCTTTCCTTCCATTCTTTTCACAACACGATCTATCTATGGATCAATAAATAGTTAGACAATATAAAGACATCAGTTCATCAACAATTAAGCATAACTCAGTCAGTAGATACACATTGGTACTTGATACAAAAAGCACCAACAAAATTTAATTATTTTTAAAGGAAAGTGAAAAGAAAAAAGGCTCTAAAATAAGGAAAAGTCTCATATACTATAGAACAGTTTGCCATTATGGCCAAACAAAACTATCCCATAAAATGTTATTTAATAATGAAGTACACACATACATGCACATATATACAAAGAGGGTTTAGTTTACATTTTACACAAATATGTAAGTCAAAATCAACTTCATTATTAAATAACGTTTTATTGGATAGTTTGTCCCAAAACCTATTATTAAATTCAAAGGTCTGACACCATATGCATCATACCTATAAATCTTACATTAATCCAAAATATTTAATATTTAATTTAAAAGTAATGCCATGTATGCTTTTGAAATGAAGACAAATAAGCACTCACAATATATTTTATAAAAAATTAGTGATAATTCAACAATAGGATAGACCAAGAACCACATTTCTAACATAAAGTTGAATGACATAAAAGTGCCAAGTCTCACACTAGTGTAAACTGAGGGGAGGGGATCTCAAACCAGGAAACCAACCTGGTTTAGGTAGTCATCCAAAAACATTACGGCATGGTCATCTTGTCCAGTATTTAATTTGAAGAGACGCAGAACTTTGTCCCTCCTGAGAGACTACACCACAAATATATTAATCAGTATTATCACAATGATCCAATATAACTCCAGCAAATAAATTAGCATTATTAACATAAGGGGAAAAAAAATAACAGCATCGTGTAGCGAATTACATTTACCAAACCAAGTCTAAATTCCTCAACAAACAGACCTCTAGTTCCCTATCCACTTGCGTTCTATCCTTCACACTGCTGTACAATTGTGACTTCAACATAAAAGGCTCAACTGAACCCTGGAATCAAGCATCACCACACCACTAATAAAAACCGAATTGAATGACTAATTCATCAAACACACGGAGGATGCAATTAAACATAAAATTCTGAGCTCGCAAGTGGTTAACGGTAACCTAACCTTTTGAATGTGGGGAAACTGAGCTCGCATGATTCGAAGCGCTACCAACGTATCGGTGAATGTAAGATCGTCCTCTGCGAATTGCGGTGCAGATTAGTCTAGTTTGCAAAGAAATTAAAAAACCGAAACATAAAGGAGAGGATTGCGTTGTGGTGCTTACCTAGTGAGGAGGTATTTCCGACATCGGAATTTTCCTCTCGCCGGCGCTTCGTCCCTTTCGACGAAGATTCTGGAATGTTCTCCATGGACTGCGCGGTGCTTGCCAGTTCCAACTTTCTCCAACGCTCGTAATCGGTTTCAAATTGATTTTAAATAAATTAATTAAAGACACGCTACATTAATAATCTAATTTTCTAACTAGTTTTTATTTTTCGGATTTCTGTATTTTATTTATTTCGTTTTCATCATATAATTTTCAAATTTAATAAACAAAAATAATGGAAATGTTAAAACAAGTAAGTTTTTCACCCTTACTTGAAAAATGCAATCAGAATACAAAGAAATTTACTAAATTAATGAGCTTAAATTTAAGTGTATAATAGTCATTAATAAATTTTACTCTTTCTAATTATATTTTTTTTAATGCTAAAACTATTTTCTTATCATTGTAAGTCGCCTTTTAAGGTCGTCTTTTAATTACATTGTCACTTTTGTAAATATATTAAAAGAAATAAATAAAAAAATATAAGAGACATAAATAATAGTGAAAAAAAGATAATCAAAAATTTAAAAAGTTGGATATTTTAATTGAAAAATCAATTAAGAGTAGAAAGGTTGATTCAAGGATTGAATAGAAAAGTGAAGGTACAAAATAAATTTAAATACTTATTATTAGAAAATATTTTCAAGTAAATATTGTAGAGAATAGAAATTAAGATAAGTAAACGAGAAGTCAATTGTGGTAAATAAAAATTTGATAATCAAATAATAGATAATATCAAGGGCTATAAGTCGAGAGAAACAAAATATCGAAAAGAAGTCACGTAATAAAGAGATAGACAAAAATTGTGATAGTCTTGTTACGTGACATGTGCATTTGTGGATATTACATGTCAATAAAATGACTCGAGCAAATTGGAAAATGACTATAAGAAAGTAACCGTTTGTGAATTTTATTTTTCATCTATTATATTTTATTTTGATTTTACCCTAATTTGTTTTTATATTTAAAAGTGTCTTAGTGGTTACATAAATGAAATATAAATAAAGTTAAATAAATATAAAAAAGGTGATTGTCAAATTGTACGAAAAAATTTGTATTTTGAAAAATGTTACGAATAAGGGACAAACATTTTTAATGGAGTTATTTGTAATTTAGATCACCATCTTTATTGATTTCCTTTATTAATTCATGTTTTATTCTTGGTAATGAGTTAGATTTACTTTTATGCAATTTACTTTCTTCCCACATTTACTTTCCAACAATTTACTTTTATTGTACTTATTATTCTTATAATTTACTTCAAATGCTACAAATTATATTAAAAATCCAATTTAGATATAAGCGATCATTACTTGAAATATATCTTATTTTAGTTATTGAATTATTGGTGTTAATTTTATATAAACGCTTTACTATTGAAATTTTGAAAAGTGTTTGTATTTGCTAATAAAATAAAAGAATTCACATGTTGTTTAAATGATTCATCGTGTGCCTAGATATAAATTATTTAATGTAAACACCTGATGGGACAATATTATTATAGGTACTAGTATTGGACATAATATAGAGAGTGAAAATGTAAACATTCGGGGTAATATTGCTCATCAGAATAATGGTAGTTAGAGTAATCAAGGGACATCGATAATACACTCAATGAGTAATCCAATAAGTAGTGCTTTTGTTGGGGGCATAATGCTAATGGAAGTACATCGGTTAAGAGAAATAATCATGGAGTACCAATAATAGAATGATATCTATGGGGAATGTCATCATAACAATCAACCCTGAATTCTAGTAGAATGAATGATCAAAGTCAAAATCAACTTAGGTTAGAAAGTCATAAGGAATACAACAGGAACCAACATAACATTGACAATATAAATAATGAAATATCGAGCAATACATTAGAGGTAATAAGACAACAAATGAATAATAGTAATCATGAGATGATCAACTTATTGTCTCGAAAAATGACCACAATCTTAAATCCGCTGGTATAGACTACAGTCGATCGTTTTCAAAGGTTGGCCGGTGAGGATAAGAGATGCACTCACAAGATCTTTTGAAGCATTTGGTAAGCTTGAAGATTTTGCTTTGATTATGGTTCTTGATTCGGTTAGCTCACGGACTTTGGCTTCTAAAATTTGTACTTGTTGTTAGAGATTGAGTATCTTCTGTTTCATAGCTGCACATTTTAGTTATTCTTCATTCAATAGATTGACAACATTCGATTCTTCTATTTTTAGTTCCTCAAACTTAAATTTGTTCATATTTAAAGAATCTATTTTGGTAGTGTGAGTGCTCTCGATCTCTTCCTTTTTTGGAATCTAAAATGAGATGCTTATTCCTCAAAGCTCGACTTTCATTAAAAAGGTTGATAATAGTGGATATATCTTCATTAAAACGTTGAGAAAGTTGTTCAATTGGGATTGCTTTGATCTTATGGAGTATCTCTTGGAACTCTTTCTTCTTGTGTGGGGGTTCGATGGTTACCACCAATGGAGAAGAGTAGATAAAACTTCTAAATTCCTTTACCAAATTTAACACATTAAAGTTGAGTGAAGGAACTAAAGAAGAGCTTGTTGTAGCCTTAGAAGTTTTCACATGAGTCATCATAAGCTCCAAAATGTTGAATGGATCCTTCTCGATTTCTTCTATTAATGTGACTTCATTGCTAGTTGAAACCTTAAGAGTAGGATCCATTGAAGGTAAATCGACATCATGAGAAGCATATTCTATTATTGGTTGGACTGCAGCAGTTTGATCAACAGATTTTGCAACGACATAAATATGTATTTCGTTAAACGTTGAAGAACATTATCATCTCATAAAAAGGCACAGAAGACAATTATCAAGAGAAAATAAAAGAGAATTAAATGGGTATCCGGAGAAATTAATTTAGTTTGTGTTTCAATTGGAGCATATGTAATATGTACAAAGGATGATTGTTGTTCAAATTTCAAAGAAAAATATAATTAAAATGTCATGACAATATTTTTTTAAAAGAAAAAAAAAAGAATTGTTAAACAAAAAATGGCATAATACCTTGGTAGGGGATATGGGAGATGTTAAAAGTGTCGGTACAATAAAGACTTCGATTATGGAATCCAAGTTGCTCGATACATTTATCAAAGCCTCTTTCTGTAAAAATGATAAATGTAATAATTAAGTATGGAGACAATTATACACACTAAAGTATGAAAAGAGTAAAAAAAATAAATACTTAATTCTTTATCTTAATACAATAAGTCAAAGGAGTATTATCCTTATAATGAGAATCCAACTCGATAATCGTTGGTGTTGGAAAAGGAATGTTAATGTTGGAGGGTGCAAATATCTAAAATAAGATTATGGTTACAACATGAATGAAATGAATTGTTCAAACAAGGGGTAATTTTAGTATACCTAAGATGATGATATAAGAATTGAGGTAGGGGAAGGAGTAGCTTTTGACCTCGATTTTTTTTTTTAGCAAGGAAAAGCAGAATAGTCAAAATATAAATCGAGAATATGAATAAATAAGAAAATTAAGATACAATGGAATTCAAAGTGATTATTCATACTAGATGAAGAGCAAAGCTATGTGCTTTCCTTTTCTTTTGAACTTTAGAGGAAGATTGAGTAGGTGGCGCTTCACTAGGATCAGAAACCTCTTCTTTAAGATCGATAATTTTGGTAGAAGAAGAAACTATAAAGCAAAAACAAGTCAAACATAAGTAAAAATAGATTTATCATGTATGCATAAAAGATAAAAGAAAGAAAATACGAGGGAAAATAAACCTCACTAAAGGGTTTACTAGTTAAGATGGATGCATGATCAACGTGGGTAAGTCAATTAGTTAAGTCAATTTCTAATAGGTAAAGGTAAGGATAATAGGATAATTTTGACATGATAATGGATTTATTTATTGGTTTAAGATATAGAAGTTCATGGTGTGATTTGAGTCCTCAAACGCACTTAGGATGGTTCAAGGGTTTAGAGATTTCAAAATGAGCATAAGGGAAGATTGGTAAGTTGATAGGACAAAATCGTTCAAAGGGGGTTTTGCCTAAAGAGTTTATAATTTTTCTAGCATCTTGATTTTGGTAAATGTTGTCTCGTAAAAAAAATTATGTTCCTAAAGGTGAATTTTAATCAAAGAGGATTATAACATTTTTGATAAAAATTCTTGAATTTTATGATTTGAAGATAATGTTTGTAGTTACCTTTCTTGGCCTTTAGCTTGTCCTGCATTACAAATTCAGGGTCAACATCTAATCAAGCTTTTATAATGGCGAAAGAGAAATGCCTTAAAGAGAATTACTGAGCCCACCATGTATAAATTTAATAAGTGCTCAACAAATTGGATTCGAATGAGACTGGTGGGAATTCAATTGGCTCCAAGGGAGTCAATCGAAGGAGTTCTTCTTGCAAGCTTGATTCATTATAAGTGATACCTCGTGGAATGATCCGATGGAATCAAAAAGTGAGGAAGGCATGGCTCAAGGTAAATTGATGTGAAAAGTGTTTGAGGACGTACGAAAAAAAAATTATATCTTTCATTTGGAAACCAACTACTAATATGTCTCATATCAAGAAATCACTCCAAACTTCAATTAGTTTAGCTTATAATCCTAGAGTGCTTGCTGGTGGCTTTGACTTGAGCCATAATTGACCTCAAATATGGTGGGCGGAGTCACCAATTGTTGAGAAGGGGGTAATGTTATTGAATTCTTGTCGTGATAACAAGAATCAAAGGTAAGCTTTATATAAGGTGGAGTTAGGTTTGTAGTGTCTAGGGTGACAAATGGCTAGCCTCACACCTTCCATTGGATATGAGGGAACTAGAGTCAATGTTGCTTTAGTTGCTGGAAGGCATGACTCAAAAGTAGAAACTAGCCAGAGTTAAATAAACCATAGTGGCCCAGAAAGGTTACCATTAGGGCGGTTGGATCGAAAGACATCTACTATTTTACCAAAAGCAACATATACATGGGCTATTAACAATTTAGTTAAGTAAATGTTTGGTGAGCCCCAATGCAGTAGGTATGCTAAGTTGTAGTAATAAGAAATTTGGATGGAAAGAGGACAAAAGACATGTGAACATAGCCAGTACACAAGAAAAACAATGTACTTTTCATCATAAACAAAAGTATTTGGGTCATCAACAAAATGCTCTTATAGGAAGTGATCATAGGCTTTCCTACTGTATCAAATTTTTGCCTCGAGCTCTTTATCAGTAGGGAAAGTGTTTATGTAGTATTTTCCTCCAACATGTTTGAGTCTTGTGAATGCAACAACCTTGAGTAGGGTTGGCGTGATTGAACCACAAGGGAGTTCGAGAACATTGAGATCTTTGTTCCAAAGTTGGACTACTGGAAGAAACATCGATATGTCAAGGTAGCTAATGTCGTATCGAGAAAGGTAAAGCAGGTCGAAGATACTAATCTTCTTCCAATGTGATTTGAATTTGGACTTAACTTTGTCGAGTCATTTGATATATGAAGGTTTCTTCTGGGGTGGTTTAGAATGGTAAACTTTGGACGATTAGGAAAGGAAGTCAATACTAAACTTCCCTTCTAGTTCTTGTAAAATGGATTTTCCTTCTTTAGATGAAGGAAAATCTTCGAGCTCATCTAAGGTTTAGAGACTTATTTCTTATTTCTTATTCAATAAGAGATATATATGACTTCATTTGCACATATATTTTTCAACAATTTATTTTTATTGTATTTTTATTATTCTTGTAATTTACTTTAAATATTACAAATTATATTAAAAATCCAAGTTAGATGTGAGGGATCATTTATTAAAATATATCTTCTTTTAATTATTAAATTATTGATGTTGATTTTATATAAATCTTCTACTATTGAAAAATTAAAAAGTATTTCTATTTCCTAATAATATAAAAGAATACAAGTAATGTTTAAACAATTTACTATATATTTAAATGTAAATTATTTAATCAAGCAACGAATTATTTACATTAAAAATATACATAAATTATTTTGTACCATTGAAAATTATAAATTATAATTACACAATCTGAATTTAATTTTGTTTCAAATGAATAATGTTTTTAAAAAAGTAATTTATAATTTATATTATACTTATTATTTTAAAAGATAATTTCTTATAAAACCTAGACATATAAAACCATAAAGACTTGTTATTGGAGATATTTTAAATCAGTCAACTCATGAAAAAAATGGAAGTGATTTAAGTTTCTCTTCCTATTTTTTGTTGGCAATCTAACTTTAAGTAATCTACAAGTAAAATTGAGAGTCTTCATAGGCCATAATTCATCGTTCATTCATCCAAACTTTACAGTGTATGGGTTTTATAAACATAGTATAATTTTCATTAGATTGAAGTTACTACCACCACTCACTTATCTTCTCCTTTAGAGAACTACTTTGGTCATCCTTAAAAACATGTAATATTTAATTAAACCATGCTAGAGAATGAGCATTAATGGTTGTTATTAACTAAGAGTGAGAATAACAAAAAAGTATGTTCTACTATGTAATGGAAATTATTCTAATAATACAAGTAAAAGATATCCAAACATCACTAGAAGACTATTAAGGGTCACTTAATTGAAGAAAAAAAAAGATTTAACCTTAAAATCTTCTATTAGATAACTATAAGTTATTAGATTAATATTTCAAATAAATTTGAGTAAATATTAAAGAATTTTATATTTATAAATAAATGTCTAATTCTATATTAAAAGAATGAACACTATATCTTGACCTAATCCAAAGAGAAATATATAATTCCTTTATAAAAATAAAGCTTAGAGGGCATATTATGCTTGATCAAACTTTCTAAAAATCATCAAAAACAACTTGTCAATAACATAGCTAACCTTGGAAAACAAGGGGAAAAAAAAAACAAAAAAGTAGCTTTGTCTAAGAAAAACCTAAGAGAACCAATTTCTCAGTCAAAAAGGAAAATGGGGCTATAATTGGTTTGGTGGAGATCCATTCAGGTTGTGGGAGATTAAGGTAAAAATCCATTTGGTTGATTTTATTGAGACCTAACCAAGAAAGAAGAGAAATATGTTTTAGAAATTACCCCTTTTTTTTTCATCTTTACCAAAGCACCTTTTATATTTTATTTTAATTGATTGTTAAATTATGATTGGTTTTGTGAAGATTTTATTCTTCAAACACAACCCTAATATCTTAACATATATAATGCATAAATCATAATTGAGTAAAAAGAGTATTCTTTCTTCAAATCTCAAATAATAATAGGTAATAAGAATTTTGCAAGTGATAAACTCATTCCCTGCATGTTCCTCCTCCGCAACTCCCAATCCTTTCATCGACCAATGATAATGAAGCAATAAATGGCACCGTAAACATTTGCAGAGGCTAAGGCTTGGGATTAGATCTCTCTCACCATCTCTGGAATCTGTCATTGTGTATCACTTACGAAAATAAAAATAAAAATTTGATTAATTAAAAAAATTTACGACAATAAGATATTGGCGTTGTTCGTTATGCAATACCCCAGTTTCACGCAACCTCTAAAGTGAAGAGACGCGGAGTCTGAGGTACAAAATACGATCTTTTTGTGTTTTCCCATTTCTGTGTTTTGTTTTCCCTCCTCAGATCCATCCCACTTTTCTGAATTCCCTCCGACATTCACAAAATGCTAACTTTCTTTATTTCTCTGCATCTGCCACCTCACTCTCTACTCTTTTAACGAGATGGGTCAGTGGAAGTTGGCACAGCTTGTCGGTGATGCCAATTCATATGCATGCCCGTATCTAGTGTTTGTGTGTATGTGCCCCTTAGACTTGGCTTTTCTCGTTTGGAATATCTAACTTGTTCTCTTGTTGTCACTGTTGGGGGACTCTTATTTGAGTATGCGTGCTTTGATACAAAAGTGATGGATACTTTCTGAGGGATTGTGCTACCGGCGATTTTGGTTCAGTTTTTCAGTCATTATGCTGCTATTAAGTGCTGTTTCATTGGTTTCAATTTCAACTTTCTCTGCAGTTATTGATTCGTGGCTCTAGGTTGCACCAGCTAGGTGCTTTGTGGAACTGAGTTGGTACCGTCGAATCAGTGAGTGTGGTGAGAGAATTATGGGATATTTTTATTTGATTGAAACTGAATAGTTGTTTTGGCTTGTATATTATCTGCTTGTTATCTATCAGTTGATGTTGAAGCCATGGTGTTTGTTATGCAGTGACAAGAATGGGCAGAGGGAGAGCAGATGGGAAACCGATAAATCGGTTTGTCACAATTGTGATAGTTTTAGTGATTGTTGGTGCTTTACTTTACCTGTATTCTAGGAATTGGAGTTCATCTTCCATTGAATATAGTAGCAAATCTTTAACATTTGGAGAAGATGATAGTGCTATACCGAAGACCATTCCAGTGAGTTATCTTGAATGTTAGTGTATAGTACGAGGCATTCAAGTTATTTTACTTTTGTGTTCAATTTTTTAGGTCTGTGATGATCGTCTCTCAGAGCTAATTCCGTGTCTAGACAGAAATTTCATTTACCAAACAAGATTGAAGCTTGATCTGACTTTGATGGAGCACTATGAGCGACACTGCCCAATGCCTGAGAGGCGCTATAATTGTTTGATTCCCCCTCCTCCAGGGTACAAGGTGTCTCTCTTTTCTCCAGCATTGTTGTCTTAGATAGAACTAAGAATGTTGAATAAATTTGGAAACTGTATGTGCTTACAGCTTTGAGTGTCCTATGCTGTTCTTGATAATAGATTCCAATCAAGTGGCCCAAAAGCAGAGATCAGGTATGGAGGGCAAATATACCTCATACTCATCTTGCAACTGAGAAATCTGACCAGAGATGGATGGTTGTAAAAGGTGAAAAGATAGCTTTTCCTGGTGGAGGAACTCACTTCCATCGTGGTGCTGACAAATATATTGCATCAATTGCCAATGTAAGCTAGTTACTATCTGGGCTGGCATGGCACGAAAATAATCACCAAAAACTTAAAACTCTTACATGACTGGAAAAAAGTTATAACTTTGTATCCATGATTGATATTACAGATGCTCAACTTTCCAAACAATATCATAAATGACGAGGGAAGACTACGCAATGTTATTGATGTTGGCTGTGGTGTTGCAAGCTTTGGAGGATATCTTCTTTCTTCTGATGTAATAGCAATGTCCTTGGCACCAAATGATGTTCATGAAAACCAAATACAATTTGCTTTAGAAAGAGGAATACCGGCATATCTTGGTGTCTTGGGGACTTTAAGACTCCCTTACCCTAGTAGATCTTTTGAACTTGCCCATTGCTCTCGCTGTAGAATTGATTGGCTTCAAAGAGATGGCATACTTCTTCTTGAGCTAGATCGGTTACTCAGGCCAGGAGGCTACTTTGCATACTCTTCTCCTGAAGCCTATGCTCAGGATGAAGAGGATCGAAGAATTTGGAAAGCAATGAATGCTCTTGTAGGGCAGATGTGTTGGAAAATTGCTGCTAAGCAGAACCAAACTGTCATATGGGTCAAGCCTCTTACAAATGAATGCTACTTACAAAGAGAGCCTGATACTCAACCTCCACTCTGCAGTCCTGATGATGATCCTGATGCTGTTTGGGGAGTTAAAATGAAAGCTTGCATCACGCGTTACTCTAATCGTGAGTGATATTTTTCTCAATTTCATATAATGATTTAGTCTGTTCTTTAATCCCAAAGACTATGAGATAAACTTATAATAAGAATGTTCCTCTAGAGTATAGACCTTTAAGAGTAAAAAACTTGACAATGAATCATTACTGATGAAACAAAATGGTGCGGGAAGGAGGACTGTCTTGTGATTTTGGAGCCATATCTAGTAGTTGACTTGGTAAATCAGATTGCTATTGCTATTGTAGTTGTAGATGTGTCCGTGTTCTTTCTGATCACATTATATTTGACACGAGTTACACAACTTAATTTATTGCATATATTAAATCTGCATGATTTTGTTATTTTCAATCAACAAGTTGTGGTATTATTTCTTGACTATTTTATTTTCAAGTTTTGAGAAGTCAATAACCATATATTCTTCTGGTCTATACAGAGATGCACAGGGCAAGAGGATCTGGTTTGGCTCCTTGGCCAGCTCGATTGATTACTCCGCCTCCGCGTCTTGCTGACTTTAACTATTCTACTGAAATGTTTGTAAAGGACATGGTAATTTAAAATATATTCTGTTTTACACTTTTAATGTCTTCAGTAATTAATGCAAATAATCATCAGATGTAGAAACAAAGGTAACAGTAAGATAAGAAAATTTTCAGAGAATACAAGAGTGGGGTGGGAGAAGGGCCTGCTGGAAAGTGGAATCCCTACATTAGCCAATTGAAATTGTAAGCAAAGATACCTGAGATCTCATTCCTCATCAAATTTTATATGAACTAATAAAAAATCTATATTTCTGTTCAAAGGAAGAAAATCTAAATGTGACACCATATGAATAATTCTTTTTATTGTGATTTTCCTCTTCGTCCTGGTGATATAAAATTGCTCAAAAGTAATTATCCTTGAAATCAGAATTTGAAGCATGATAGCTTCATGGTCACATGTCTGATTACGTTGTTTATGACAACTAATTTTGTGTAGGAATATTGGCACCAAGAAGTTGCTAATTACTGGAAAATGCTAGGCAATAAAATTAAGTCTGACACAATTCGGAATGTGATGGACATGAAGGCAAGTTTGGGCTCATTTGCAGCTGCTTTAAAGGACAAAGATGTTTGGACTATGAACGTGGTGCCAGAAAATGGACCAAACACACTCAATATCATATATGACAGAGGGCTGTTGGGAACGGTTCACAACTGGTATGACTCTTATCTTTACAAAAAGAAAATCTTTCTCTAGGTTGTAATGTGAGCAATTCCTGTTTAGTCCACTGCTTGATTCTTTTCAATACGCTCTGAAAGTTTGCTCTTTAATCAAGATCTACATAGCTGACTTAATGAGATAAAACCTCGATTTTATTTCTTTGAAATGGAAGATACCCCAGAGGAAGAACTAGTGTGATATAAATAAGCCACATCATCTTTGCGGCAATATTACCTTCGCTTGACCTGGTTTTGTGAATCAATGTGACAGGTGTGAAGCATTTTCGACCTACCCTAGAACTTATGACTTACTCCATGCATGGGATATATTTTCTGATATCATTGAGAAAGAATGCAGTCCAGCGGATTTATTGATTGAGATGGATAGAATCCTGAGGCCTAAAGGTTTCGTCATTGTCCATGATAAGCGGTCAGTGGTGTTGTTTATAAAGAAGTTCTTGCCAGCATTGCACTGGATTTCAGTAGCCACATCTAATCTAGAGAAAGACTTAGACCAAGGCAAAGATGATGCAGTGTTGATCATTCAGAAGAAGATTTGGTTGACAAGTGAGAGCATCCGGGTTTCAGAATAATGACATTCTCCCTCTATGGATGCCATTCTTCCCTTTCAGTTACAAGTTTAAAATCTCAGCTACACACAGTCGTGGAAAATTAATCTTATAGCTCTTTCCATACTGTAGGTGCTCTTTTATGTGTTATTCATATTCTCTACAGTACAGGTACTACTGTCAGGGAAAGATAATCCCAAATCACGTTGGTTGATTTTATTTAATTTTGGACACAATTAGTCACCCTTTATTGTGATTAAGATAACTAGATGTATTTGATGAAAGATTTTGTTTTTCTAAATCAATTTGAACATATTACATGATAATGAGGTTTTATTTATCCATTTTGCTGCCGCTTTGAGAAACTACTGATCGGGTTGTCTTATGAGTACAGGATTCTGGTTCGCTTCCTACACCACCACAAAACACAAGGCAAACTTTAAGAATTGTTTTCAGTTTAACCTGCTTTACTATTGAATATTGTTAGAAGCTTCAGTAACTTAACGCTTTGCACGAGCAGGAGAGCAGAAACTATTGTGCTGTCATTACATCTGCACAAACTTCTAGCTAACATAGTACTCCATTTTTTCGGGCATGAAACATGGGAACTTTTTGAGAATTGAGGAATCACATTAAGGATATGAAACCTTTTAATTTTTATTTTTTTTCATTTAAAAGAAAATTTGTTTCAAACTTATCGCCGTTTTACAAATAATACAAACTAATAATACATCACACATCTTCCGTTTCTTTTAATTATTTAAAGAAAATCTCAGATGATAATTTTACTTAGAAGATTCAGAAACTATGTATTAAATGTGAATAATCAAAATCTGAGATGATAATTTCGCCTTACATAAAAGTTAGAACAAATCTCCTTCACATCAAATTTAGCACTGTGGCCTAACTCGTTAAAATTTAAACATAGATAAACTTTTACTAATTTACGTCGGGAACAAACTCACTTAAGGAGCATTTTCCAACTACTAGATGCGGAACGAGGTGTTGGGAATACATGATGGGATTATGGAGCGTTAGGTCTTAAAAAATCCGGCAGCTTACTGTAACATCACGGGAGGTAGCATATGCTAAAATAACTTTTTTAATGCTGTTCACCAGGATCAACCATATCAAGTCACGTTTCTCTTACGATATAATTGAGTTCTTTTCTTGAAAGGATATAATTGAGCTCTAAGAATTTGTCATTTGTCATTAGATAATTCAACAATGGTCCTACAAAATTGGATTAGTGCCATTCCTTTAAAGGAAAAACTAAAATTCTCGTCGATCTTTATAAGTAGAAATTATTTGTCGTTTCACTCATGCAGATTTCAACTTGGCTGATGTCAAAGCAAGATGAGAAAGAATTCTGTGCCCCACAAACATCAGGAAAGCTCCCAAAAGACCAAAGGCCTTCAGCGTAGTGAACAGGTCCAGCTGCACGCAAACAAAAACGAGATAAACATGTTATCAGGGGAGATAACACATTTGACTAAATAAATTTTCCTTCTACATACTTATGTAAAGACAACCACATAATAAAAGAACCTGATTTCATGTTTAATTGGATCATATAATAATGTTACTCGATTGGACATACCTTCAACCAGAAAAGTACATAGAGTAACAAAATCCCAGCAATACCAACATGGAAAAGGATCCCAAATGTAGAAGGTGCTGTTGAACCAGGGAAATTCTTTACGTTCACCCCCAATCGCAATAACTGCCAATGACATAAAACAGAATAAAAACCACTGACTCCCATAAAGGAAGATAGACGAAATAAAAGGAAAATAAAGCAACTTAGTAACATTGTTATAACAACACTGAATGCAAGAGCCGAAGTAATCGTTTACACTTGGTTTCCAACTTTCTACACACATGAAACAAAGTAATCTACCTATCAATATATTGCTTGCCACATGTCTCTGACTCCAATCAAGTCAATACCCTTTCCATTTGTAAACCATATTTGTTTGCAGGTCAAGGACAATCACAATCGGCAAAGATAAGATGAGCTAGACCACTTGATATCAGATTATCAAAGAATTATTGTTATTATTCAGTTGATGTAAATTTTTTCCCAAAAGGACATCTTTCCACATCCTAGTTCTTGTAACCATCATAAAAGCATATTTATCATAAAGATAACCGCACCACATTTTCTGTTTTCATTCTATTACTTTTCCTATTCTTATCTCTAATAATGCCTTTTCTCTTAAATAGAAACAAACTAGTCTATTTATGCCACTTTCTTCTAGTAGGATAATGATACTTACCCCAAACAAAAAGCCGATGAATGGCAAAAGGATTAAACCCAAGAAAATAAGAGAGAGATTCTGGGGTGGTCTCTTTTCAGGAGTCCTGAATGTATGTGTAATCTCTTCTTTGGGCTCATATCTTGAGTAAGGGTCAACAGGTGGGGTTGGAGGACGGGATGCTTTCTCAGGTGCTTCTGGAAGATCTAATTGGAGATGGCCAATTAGGCGTAAGAAAGAGTTCTCCTGAAATATAGCATTTTCACTCAGATTCACAGTAGAATGGGAGAAGGGAAAATTAAAAAATGGGGACTAGTGCACGCTACCATGACAGCATCACCAACAGTCAACTCAATGTCATATCTGCCCGAGAGATAAAAAAGTTTCTCCACCAAGCCAAGAAAATCCTACAAGCCAAAATAACAATGTAAGCAGAGAGAGAGAACCATAGGAGGAAAATGTGAATCAAATTAATGTTACAGCATTCAGCATTCCCCGAGCAAAACAAAAAATGATGAGCAATTGTATCTCGGCCAAGCTCAAAAGCAGTTAAGGCTTGTCAACAGTTCCAAATTAAAAGATAAAAATATTGATGTTGCCTGACAAGTGATTAAAACTGCAATAATGTTTATAAACTTTTCTATTTAATGACACTCTTGACTATAACATTGGATGCTATACAAACCATAACAAATTAAGCAAATTCAACGGTATAACAGTTATTTATCACACAATGTGACAAACTTAACATGTACTCAAGGAGAGACCTCAAAACCCAGATAATGAAATATGTAATGAGAGATACTTAACAAGAATTATCTCAAACTTCTTGCCAGTGTTTCCAACCACAAAGATGTGTTCAACCTTTGACTCGTGTCTCAACTTGAAAAATGCCTGCAAAACAACAACAACCTCAATAAACAGCAATGAAAAGACATTAATTTGGAAGGTACAAGAGACAACTGCAAACCTGTTGAGGCTTAAAGTCTTGACCATGAGGTGTAGTCAATTGGAAAGCAAACATCAACTTCTGCAAGTGGTTAGCTGAGAGTGAAACTGCATCATTTCCAGACAAATCTAGCCTAGATAGGTCAAACATAAATCACAGTTAAAAAATAAATCAAAACCATACAAGAGTTACAAATACAAATGCAGCAGAGATATGAATTCATATGCAACAGTTCAGACCGCAAACACATGATAGAATGGCAATTATCAGGCATACTAATCAGAAATCAAAAGTATCCTAAATATCACCATAGATAACTTCAAATAGAATACAAAACCAAAATACAAACATACTTTTTCTGCGTTTCGGCAGTTCCAAGATCACTCTCCACAACTGTGATTTCTGCATTGCCAACTTCAATAATCCCAGTGACATATATTGGTACATAAATTTGTCCTCCAGTTGTATAAACTTCTTCACTGGCAGAATCATGAAGCACAATCTACAAAATCGGGTAAAATATTATAATGATAGGTGGATACAAATAAACCTTAATGTAACTAAAATGAAAGATAAAAAACTAAATTAAAAGAAAGAGGAATACCTCAAAAACAAACACATATGTTCCCACATCCAAATTATTCGGGAAAGTGTCCAAGACATGCAATCCACTTTCTTGGTCATACCAGAGCTCCTGGTCATGCAGAGTATAATTTAACAGAGATAAGAAAAGTACCCAGGAGAATAAATGATTGTCAGAGGGAGAAAAATATTTTCAAGCCTCACCCCTCAGAAGCGATTAACTCATCACTCACCTTGCTGTCTATAATAGATGAATCTTTTGCACCAGTGCTGAAAGCATGGACAAGCTTAACTGTTAAAGGTGGAGCAGCTGAACCAAGCACTGTATTCACCTTAGCCTAATTAATTTTGTAATAGACATTTGTCAGATATTCCCAACACTAATAAAAACTGAAAAGTAGAGTAGAAATGCTTAAGTATTGCACAGTCACAAATTTAATTCAGTAAAGAGACTGCAACAGAAAGTAAAATTGTTTGGTTGAGGGAAGCAGATAGTAATGAAAATGGATGAGATATTAATGTAGAACTGCATGCAGAAAAATCAACAAGTAATAAATAGGGATAATGCAACCAGAATGCAAGTTAGAGGTTGTTAATAATTTTAAACAAGAAACTATTGAAAATGGATGGGCTAATAATATAACAATTATCATATAGAGACAGAGGAAGCCTAATAAGAACTGTGAACTGCTTTGGTAATTTGTTCAGAGGTTATAAATTAATCATTAACAGCACTGAGAACTATAGACTTGCCCAACAGCTGAGACTCGAAAAGGGAGAACAATCAAAAGCTACTAACTAGGTCATACACCCTGTATTTCCTACTTTCCTATTGCCATACAAAATGTCAAATATCATGATAAGGCAATGAGATAACCCCATCAGCTATTCATTATATCACAATTTCTATGAAAAAAAACTAATTAAAAATGTATAATTTAATAAAATAAGGAGTCTAGACACTACTTAGTTACATACCTTAAGCTGGCCTTTCTTGGTCAATGAATAAACAGTTTCAGGAAGTGACAATATCAATGGAATGGAAATCCTACACCACCATAAGAAATACAAGTGACATATTATCACTGAACATCATGAGGTCAACATATCAATGCAATTTAAAATAAGATTGCTCTAAGAACAACACTTGCCTGTTGCTCTCTAGAAAAGCTAATGACTCAACTTGACTGAAGAATTCCTTGGCATCACCTGGGATTCCAATGCCCAAGAAAAATTTTGCCAAACCCAATATTGTATCCCCTGGAAGCTGGAAAATGCAAAGCCATAACATTAGCAATAAATTCCAGAAACAGATTGAAAACAATTAAACAGCAATTTCCTTACACTCTACATACATTTATTTTTCCAGAAGTTGCAGCAGCAAATGCAGTAAACCCTCTAACAACTGAAGAAGTTGTGGAAAGAGAACCGTGTTGCTCTTGTCCACTAACAAATTTCTCCTCAAAATAAAAGCTTCCATCGTCTGCAAAATGACAGTAGGTTCATCTTAGTTCAATATGATGAAGTATAATGAATAGAGAGTCAAGGTGATGCAAGTGCAATACCCAGAAAAAGGGTAATGAAGAAAAAAAAAGGAACTTCAAGCAAATTATATTATTTGATAGACAATACCACTCTGAAGAACAGAAAAGCACTGAAGCAAACATGCAACAACAACCACAACCTTACATAGATATGTAGAATGCAGATAATACTACGGAAACCCCCAATTCTAGAAGTTTCTTCTAGGAAAGCTTACAACCATAGTGTTAGCAAGATAACGATATCTTAGCTCTTAAGAAAGTGATTGCACTTGGTCAATTGTTAAGCCCAAAAAAAATAGCAGAAGAAAGACCAAATAATAGACAAAGTGTGACCTAACATGAAAGCACAACATAAGGATAAATTTGGAATCCACCACTTCCCAAAAAACAAATTCTACAAACTGACACCAAGATATGAATTGCTAACCCATGCTAGGGAATTCTAAATTTAAAAATGAACATTCACAATAATCATTTTAAATGAGGTAAAGCAAAGCTACACATACCATATTTCTCAATGACATCAAAAAGCTTTACAATGTCATTTTTCACTATGTTGACCTGCCAATATGGAGCTAACATAAGAAATTGATAGAAGTGTTGAAACAAATTATGTTATCAAAAGGAACCAAAAGATAGAAAAAAACAAACAAAGGCTAAAATCGATGATGAGCTAAATGCAGGCTGCAACACTGACAAGTTTAACTTCAGTTTCGTGCTCTGCCCCTTAACATACCAACTATTTATAATACACATAATGTCATATGCATGTCTGGACAATGTATGAAAAGTATTGCAAATTTTAAAAAAAGGCAACAATATAATGATCCATAACATTACCGTAGACCTTTCGATTTCAGAAGATGCTAGTGAGATCACCCCAGCAAGAGCTTCAAATGCTAATCCTGTGAAATGTATTATGAGATTAAATTATTAGCATGGATAAACTGCAGCAATATTCCCAGGATCTCATGATGCTAGCTTCAGCAAAGAAATCATAGGGTATAATGGCATATAAGAGAGAAATTAAGTATCAGTACTGTCAGATTTAGGGGAAGATTAAAGACGAGTTGTTAAATGAAGAAGAGAATAGCTTAGAGAGAATCTACAGAATGAAAACAGGATTCAGTCCTTCAATTGAGCAAAGCCACTACTAATTCCAAGGATGAGACTAAACGAGTGCAACTCCCTAAATACTGTTTCCTGTAAATACTAAATGCATTTTAATATGATACATCAACTCATTCAACATATGATATTATCCGATTTATTACCAGCAGCATAGATACTGGACTCCGGATTATCAGAACTATGGCGCCATCTTCCGTCACTTTGCCTAAGAGCCTGCCCACAATGAAAGACAAAATAAATGTGCAAATCACAGTTTGAATTGCAAAAATATTAATTGATTTAGCATACGGGGGAAACTAAAATGTAGGGTGCTCATCCTATATGGAAGTCCCTATCATCCATATGAGACGAGGCCAAAATAGTAGTTATCAAAAAGCAAACCTAGTGCTCATGGTACCTTAATAGAAAAAAAGATTAAAAAAAAAATAATAATAAATAATAATAATAATAATAATAATACAAACCTTGATCGATTGAAAAACCCCATCAACATCAGGAATATGGGTATCAACATTAGAATCCAGATCCTGTGTACAAAGAAGGGGCTTACAAAAGCAGATAATGACCATCACACAATATATAATAACGTTTGAAATCCTCAAGTCACAGTTTTAAATGTTATCACATTCACTAAAGAAAAAAAAAATATACCCAAGAGATGAATAGGAAATAAACTTCATTAATGCACCAATACTCTCAAAGGATTCTAATAAAATAAACCTGTAAAATAGACGTCAGAGATCACAGTGTAAAACAGCAGGCAGAAAACTACCTTTATAAGAACCAAACCTCCAATTGAGTAGTATTTGTCAAGCAAAGTACTCGCATCATGAACAATGACTTTAAGTCTTGAAGCAATACCCTATTCAAAACGTTACGAAAAAAAAAAAAAACAACTAGCATCAATTTCCAGCACACTCACCAACAGAAATTTCACAAGCAGTAATTACTCAAACTGCAACCATACTACGATGATGAAAATGAATCCCCAAGCACACAAAAATAGTAAAAAGCACCTCGAAAACCTCCCCATTGACATCACATTTTAAAATGACGTTAACTTTCAAGGCATAGAACAAATCCTTGAGAGGGGAAGTCGAGACTAGATTTTCCAACACTTTCGGACACGTGGCCCCTCTCTCATGAGCCTTCTTCTCTTGGATTCCAAGAATCTCAAACACTCTAAGCGCCTCGTACGCGTCTTCTAAGCTGGTAACAGATCAAAGAAGGACAAAAATTCGTTGAGTTCAGTTGCGCAGAACGGTTAAAATCTGAAGAAAGCAACACAAATCTAATAATCCATTCACGTCCCCGGATCACAACCAAACGCAGCGTTTTTAAATTATTTTTGGATAATTAAACGGATTTACGGAATCGGCGAAGAACAACGCAATGAGTTTAAATAGGGTTTATGTTTTTGACCTTGCGGGAGAGGAAGCGAAGAAGTTGATAGCAGCGGATCGGCGTGAGATGGAAGCGGAGAAAGGGAGAAGAAGAAGCAGAAGAAATGCTGATGCTAATAGTGTCACGTGTGTGGCCATGCCTGAACAGCAATAGATCGGAATTGGAGAGTGATCTCAGTTCAAAACGGAGGGGGAAGACTTTCTCTACTGTTTATGTAACGGCTTATATACCATTGTAATGGCTCTGTGAACTTGGACTGTTTTGTTTTGGCACATTAATTTTACAATTATTAGGTTTAAAACTTCGATTTACTTACTCCACTGTAATTTCTTGATTAACATTATTTTTCAGTTTTCAGTTTAATTACTCAACAATTTTATTACAACATATTAAAAAACAATAAAGTTTTTAATTTATTTATTTTTGTTATGTTTTAGTTCATTTTATTTACCACTCCCTTTGTCCTAAAAATTCAGTTTTAAATAGAATATTACTTTGCTTTCACAATGTCCCCAAATAAATTATATTAGTATTTGTATTTACGTTAGCTGAAAATAAATTTAATTCAAAAATGTATATTTATTATTATTTTTAATATATGTGAAAGAAATTAAATTACAAAAAATATGATAAGAGGCGGTTTATCATAAAAGGTAACGGTGATATTAATGGAGGTTGCATAAATAATTGGATTACTCCCTATTTGTACTCTCTCCATTGTCTATGCCATGAACTTGTGCATTGAAGCAACTATCACATCATAACGTGTGATTTTGTGAATGCAATACCATAACTAAACATACTTGCAATATAAATTAGATAAGAGAAACGTGGCTAAATATACTTGCAATACAGATAAATAAATTAAGCTAGAAAAAAAAAATTATGAACAAAATTAAATGATTTTTATCCTTATATTTTAGTCAGCACGGAAATCTGTTTGTTACCTATGTGGCTACCCACACTTCATCATGAAAGAGGGAGATAGAAAAATACTCAGATAAAAATGTTCACACAGTCCCTTATGGAAGCATAAGACAAGCATAAGACGAACAAACTCTTGTAAATAACGAAAAAGGTATCAGAAACAAAAGAAATGCCAAAGAGAATGATGAAAGGCGGGAATAAATTATTGAAAAAATTAAATTTAAGTCTAAAATTTATATTGAAAAAATTGAGTAATATATAAAAAAAAGTATTTATAATCTTATGTTTCAAGGATTTTTGTTAAAAATTGTGTTAATTTTTTATATGGATTAAACTTATTTTTTATTAATTCTATTTTTTTCTGGTAAATTTCTTTAAAAGACCTAACATAAAACATATAATTGAAATGAAGCTTATACGAAGAATTGGAAAAGAAAATGAAGTTATCTTGTGGAAAGATAAATGGGTGCTCATAAGGAGCTAGAATAATAATATAATAATTTTATATTTGTTTTCAAAGAAAATAATAAACCATATTTGATAGATTTCGTATTAGTTAGAACAAAAAATTTGTATTTAAGTTTTACGTACCCAATTAAGTTATAGAGTTGGCAACCACTACATCAGAGTCAAATAAAAGCAAATTTTTACTGAATTGATAAAAATAATAAATCTTAAAAAATATTACATCATATTAAATAAACAATGAAATAAAATAGATAATAATAATTATATAATGAACTTAAAGTCTATAATATTTTGACATCCTACTTAAAAATATTTTAAGCATGTATTTTAATTTTTTTTATACTCTTGCAATAAAATGTTTAGAGGTTTAGTTCAAAATATTACTTTGAATAGTGTATATGTATTTTAGGTAAAAAAGCACGAGAAAATAATTTATGTGTTGTAAAAATTTTCACATATCCCGTCAATTTTAAAGAGTATTCATGTGACTTCTTAATATCTATTAACCAATATAATTTATAAAACTGATAATTATTCGTATAAACATAAGAGCTTTCTATTATATTTTGAGATTTATATCAATGTAATATATTATTAGGTGTTAATTTTTTTTTTACTTGTCTTCTTCGTATTAGAAGAAATAACTACAAAACATATTTTTTATTAATATAATTTTTTTCATAAATACATTATTTTGAATAGAAGTAATTTTCGCCCAACCATCATTTAATTGTCTAATTTTATTTAATTATATATAGTCATATTTTTGAAAGAAAACAAAACAAATTATTTTGATATTTTAACGAGTTTATGATTCAAGGTAAGGATGATTTATATATATATATATATATATATATATATATATATATATATATATATATATATATATATATATATATAAAAAGGAAATAAATGAAAATTTTAAAATAAACAATATCTTATATATGAGTCTTAACGATATTATGACAAGAATTTTTTTTTAAATAAATTTAAGTTTTGGGAATAAAAAAATGTTATTTTTATATATAAAACAATTATCATATTATTATAAATTTCCTGACCATGGTTTTACTTTTATTTATACATGATAACTACCTATATTTTTTTAATGCATTGTTAATTTTGGTTTTTAAAACTGAATTTATTAATAAAAATAAATTATAATTTTTTAGATTATTAATTATAATATTTATATTTAAATATATTTACTTATCATAAATTTAATTACATATTTTGACATATATTAGAAACTAAACAAATGCAAAAATTTTGAATATATTTATTAAAAAGATTTTTAAATGTAATTTAAATTTCTAATATTAAATAGATTAACTTAACTTATATGTTTTACTTTTAATTTATTGATAAAGAATTTCACGATATTTTTTTATGTTCTTGTATCAGGTTATATTTGGTTAAACTTATGATTAATGTAATAAAAAAAATGATTGAGTTGAACTGAGTTAGAACTTTAGTATTATTTTTTTTAGATTTAATTTAACTTGATTTGTCTATAATTGAGTTCGGTGAAGTGAATTGGGTCACAAAATTTTAAATATATTTTTTATTAAATTTATTAAATTTAAAACCATATATATATATATATATATATATTAATAATTATACTATTTAATACTTAAATAAATTAATATTTTAAAATATATTATACTCATATAATAATTAAATAAATAAAATAACAATTTTATTATTATTTATATTATGTAATATTTTTTATTAATAAATTAGGTTCATTCTAAATTAAATATACAAAATTTACCGAAGTTATAAAAGATTGGATGAGATTATCTGAATCATAGATAAATTTCAATTTAATCTATTTGTGATGAAATGAGTTGAATCGGATAGTTTATTTTTTCAATCCAACTATTTTTCTTTATTTATTCTTTTTTCCTTCAAATTCCATCAAGTAAAGATTTGTTCGGCTTTATTACCACATGTGCTTTTTTAAAAGAGTCCCGATAGTTTGACAACCCATTTTAAACATCCGTTTGACAATCCAATAAAAAATAATAAATGTATAGTATTATTGAATAAAAAATATTAAATGTACGATGTTTTTATAATTAAATAATTCATTCTCTTGCTCATCTCTCCTCCTTCTCCAATTCTCATTTTTCTAGCATAGAAATTTCTCATTCCTTCCTCGACCTCGACCTTCCTCACGCGGTTGTGAACTTGCCCAACTTGTCAGTCGAACTCACTCACCACCACATTGTACAATTTTTCCGGCAACATCGTCAACGTGGTTCCGTTGGTATTTCAAATTTTGAATAATTTTTTTTTTAAATTGGGACTTTAGATAGCAGTTCCAAGAACCGCTATCTAAACCTACTAAAGAGAGCGGTTCTAGAACTAACCGCTATTAAAAGTATATTTTAGATAGCAGTTAACTTGGAACCGCTATTATATGATCACTTTTAAGAGCGCTCAAAATATTAACCGCTCTTAAAAGTGACACATATATGATAGCGGTTCCACTTTAACCGCTCTTAAAAGTGAATCAAACATCGCTCAAGCGAGACTAGTGTCGCTCAAGCGAAACACAACCCGAGAATACCCAATCTTAGCAGGTGGCGTCGCTCGAGCGATGTAAATTTCGCTTGAGCGAATGTTGACCTGGGCTAAACGTCGATCAAAGTTAGCCGCATAAGGTTACATGGCTGACCACATGTTTGAATCGGATATCGCTCGAGTGAGAATAGTGTCGCTCAAGCGAAACACAACCCGAGAATCTCCAATCTTAGCAGGTGGCGTCGCTCGAGCGATGTGAATTTCGCTTGAGCGAATGTTGACCTGTTGCTAAACTTCGATCAAAGTTAGCCGCATAATGTAACATGGGTGACCACATGTTTGAATGGATATCGCTCGAGCGAGAATAGTGTCGCTCAAGCGAAACACAACCCGAGAATCCCCAATCTTAGCAAGTGGCGTCGCTCAAGCGATGTGAATTTCGCTTGATCGATATTAGAAAAATCAGATAAAATGATCGATTATTTTAGGTTATAATCGATTATACGTTATGATGATCGATTATAAGTGGTGTATGATCGGTTATATTATGCTAATAGATTATAATATTAATTTATCTGTCATAATTAAATGTAAGCGACAATAAAGTCGGTCAAGCGGACCTTACGTGTAACCTAAAGGCAAAATCAGTGAGCAACACCGACAGTCACTCGTTTCACATCTGCGCGATAGAAGCACTGACGTTGAAGAAATTTGTTGATTGTTACCTTCTTCTCGCCATCAATCTCCTCCATTATCATTATCTATCGGAGCTCCTTTTCCTAAACTGCATTTTTACGGTTCAAGTAAGTGCATTCTTCTCGTTTTGTGCCTATGTTCATGTTAGTCTACAATTTTCATGAATTTTTTGTTGAATAATTAGTTCGTTAGCTGTTTAATTTGTAAATAGTTTGTTATGAAAGTGGTGTTGAAAGTGTTTTTCCACTTGTTAGGTTACAATATACAAATCTGGTTCACAATGCCTCCTAAACTTATGTTTGGTTTTGTATCTTTGCATGATGTAAGTAGGTAAACTAGTGTATTGTAATATGAATATAATTTAAAGGAGATGGTTGCTATTATATTATTGTCAATGGTAGGAATTGTATCCTTCATCGTTTATCTAGCATGGGAGATATAAATGAAAACAGAGATGTAGTTGTCAACGAAGGCATTTTGGCCGTGTATGATGACATAGGTAGTGATGCGGATG